TGTGCTGAGGTCAAAAAATTTGGGGCTTTCCAGGCAGAAGAAATAAAATGTACTTCGTGGTTTTTGATAACAAATATGCTTCGTTGTCTCAAAACTTGCATGCAAATTGCAAACTTTAATCAATCTCAGTAGTTCAACAGCTGAGAGTGGCTGCTGGCTGCGACGCGAGGTGCACCTAAAGCTAGCAGCAGCGCCGCAAAGGCGACCCGCTTTTCTTTCCAAAAGGAAAGCTGCTGCTGCAGCTGCTGCTGCTGCTTTTGTTTATAAGGTGAAGCCCAGTTTGCAGGCAAGAACTCAAAGGAAAAAAGATTGCTTGACAAGCTGAAATACGGCTTCTGAGTTGTTTTTCCATTGAATGCGCATTTAAAGTTCAGAAGCGGCGTCTTTTTCCTTTTCGAAAAGGAGCAGCAAACGTTCTGAATAAAACAATTCTTTTACGAAAGGAATAAGACTTTGACTCAGTTGCTTAAGCAGTTTGTATCGTTGCTCAGAATGCATGCATGCGTTTCCGTTGGAAAAGCCAAGAGCCCAGCGTCTTCATTTGCAGATTTTGGGTCTTTTCCGAACTCTTTCGCCGCGGTTCTTGGCGCTGTGAGTTCGCTTTTTGTCAACATTTAATGAGGTATGAATTTAAACCTCTCCGCTCACTGCTTTTTGGATTTGACTTCAAGTTCAAATTGAAGATTCAAAGATCTTCCTTGGGGGCAGCAGCCGCGAGGAGGAAGTCTCCGAGCATTTCCACTACGGGCGGTCCCATGTAGAGGCGCCTGCGGTCGACCCGGTGGGGCCCCTCAGGGTATAGCACAACGGCGGGCAACTTGGACTTGAGATCGAAGTCAATGATGTCATTAAGTTCTGCGAAGAGCTGGGCAAACAGGAGGCGGCCGCGGAGCTGCGGCTGCTGGCTGAAGGCAGCAGCAACTTGCTTCCAGGCGTCGAGGAAGAGCTCGCAGCCAGGGCAGCGGGGCTCGTAGTAAAGAACTGCGAGGGGAGCCCTTGGTGCTGCATGTAGAGTCTGAAGGAACTGTTGGTGACTCAGCTCCTTCACAAGTCCCCCCGGGCTCGTAGCGCTTAGCCGGTGAGACCTGAAGTGCAGCTCTCGAGTCCCCCTGGCCCACTGATCAAGGAAGGCCTCGAGACTGTAAAAGCTAAGAGGCATGCCCAGGGAATACTGCGAAAAGGGAGGGGCCTCTCTTAAGACCCCAGAGGCCCGCTGGTAGGCCCAGGGGTTGGGCCTAGGGTCTTTGAGGACAGCCCCGCCCCAGGGGGTACTGAAGAGGGCCTCGGCCCTGGCGGCCTCTTTGAGGCTCGTGCGGGCAATGTGGAAGGCCAGTTGGGATTTGTATTTCTCGTAAAACTCCATCAGCAGCTCCGCAATGTCTTGCAAGTTTTCAAAACGACTCACCTGTACAGAAAGCAGCGCGCGGCGGCCCAGCAAAGGGCCCGTAGGCACTTCGCCGTAAAACACTTTTCTGTTTTCAGCCTCCAGCAGCAGCGCCAGCACTGCTCGCGGCTCCCAGAGGGGCTCTGGGGAACTGAGAAAAGTTTCTTCGCCCAAATCGAAGGGTAGCAGCTGTCTGTACACCCGGAGTTCTTCCTTCTCCGCCGCCTCCACGAACTGCACTTTGAACAAAGTCGACTTCGACGGCAGTTGCTGCCGCTGCTGCGCCAGCTGCGCCAGTAACAGCGCCCCCGCGCTTCCCCGGTGGACCCGCGCGTGGACCACTGGTCCAATAGGCGTGGCCTGCAGCCCCCCAGCCGCCTCCCGGGGCCTCGCCTCATCTTCTGCAGAAAACTCTGCTGCCCGGCCCTCCTCAGCCAACACCCAGTAAGCAATTTCTGCAGCAGTCACGTCGGGGCCTCCGTAGGTGCTGAACGGCGCGCTGCTACTGGCCCTGCCCCCAGGGTACAACCGCAGCACTGGGGCCTCCTTGGGGAGCTCCCGGGAGACCACCTGGGGGGCCCCCTTAGCTTCCAGCAACTCCCGAAACTCCGAACTCTTGCTCAGCGGCACTGCCACAACCCGCGTCAGGCTGCCCCAGTCCCGCAGCAGCTGCTGCGCCTTGCGGCTCTCCCGTAGCGCCTCTTCAGACCACGGGCAGTCAGCAGCAAAAACAGCCAATAGGGGGCTTCCTAGGGGCCCAATGGCCCCCAGGTCCTCCACAGAAAGAGTCTCTAAGGGGGAAAGCTCTTCTTCTCTAAAGATTTCCCCCCGGGAGCCTGAGTCTTTTTGCAGGGGGCTCTGGCGCCGGGGCAGCTCTAGTTCTTCTAGCGGGTGCTGCACCGGAGCTCCTCTTTTTTCTGCTCCTCGGGGGCTTGTAGCTTCCGCAGCACAACTAAAAAGGCATTGGGGAAAGGAAAATATCAAATAAATGCACAAATAACCCAAAACACGCAACGCGCGCACTTGCACTGCCCCCCGCTGCCGCCGTCGAGCCACAGGCAGCTCCAGGCCGCAGCAACAAAGAAAACTCAGCAACATACTTAATTATCGCCGAAATTTGTACTGCTGCTTTCTTCTACCTTTTCTAAATGCAATTATATTTCAAGGAATTGAGCATTAGAGGGGACTTCTGCTGCGGAGGAACACCTAAAAAGGCCGTGAGACGCTATGGGGGTGAAGCAGCCAGAATTTTGAACAGAAGAGAGCCTTCTAGGGAACAGAGATGCAATAAGCAGCTGTTGTGCGATTTTAAAAGAATAATGTATATTCAAAACATTAATGAACGAACTGAAAGCATTCAAAACCGCGGGAGGAGCCTGTAGCCGCAGTGCAAGGCTGGAATGTCTGCGTGACCAACTGGTCACGTCTTCGAAGCCGCATCATCCCCTCCAGCCATATCTGTAAAATTCGAAAGCAAGTGAATGCAAAATTGAGTAAATTTGCTCTTTTCAATATTTCTGGCTCGCGAATACGGCAGATACAACAAAGGCACCACAGCTACTGATGCGCCATAGTGCTCTTCGTTGCACGGCTGCAGCGCTGCGAGCCCTCCACACAAGGCTGCCGGAATATTTCCTATTTGTCGTATTTAATTTAAATGTTTTAAATATTTAATTGCACATCTTAGAGGCAATTCGTGCAAAGATTCGAATCGGGGTAGTGCAGGACAGGAGGGCAGCCGATAGCGCGACACCGCTCCCCGCTCAATTCTGTAGATTCGAAGGATAAGTGCACCCGTGAGTATCTCTAATTGAAATAAATTGTTCGATCCAAAAGCTGAATAAAATTAAATGATTTGTAATTTTAAATATTCAGTGGAAGCCCGAAAGTTGGAGACAGGAACAGCAGCATCGCTCATCACTTGATGCAGCCATCGACTCGTTGGCAACCGTCATCTACGATGTCTTTGCAATTCCTAGACATATTTTTTGTAAAAAAAACAACAAACTTTAATTTCTTATTTTTACAACTGTTTTTCTGTGGCAAAGTACGTTGAATGCGATGGGTGCAGAGCCGCCTAAGCCTCCTTGCCAGCTGATGAAACCAACCAGTAGACATTGAGCAAACACTGAACTATGAATATTAAGCATATATTTATTTCATTTTCATATAAAACAAAATGAATATAGGCTTAGTATTCACAAAGCAAATCTAGCACTGGACTCATCTGTCTTGGTACGGGTTGCTTGGCTTCACCGACTACAGTTTAAGGCTTAGGGTTTTGGGTTCCGGATCCAGTTTTCAGTAGTTGGGATGCAAGGCTGCATGCTTCTGTTCAACATGCTGCAAGCTCATAATCCGTAGGCCTAGCCAGTTTTCGGCAAAATTCGTATTCCCCTAAACCCTAGGGCCCTACGTCAATTGGATGCTAGAATGGAAAAGCAATGATCTTCAGGGCTGTTTCATCTTGGCAGCAAAAACGCAACGCTTTATTGTCCTTACGCAAATGAACATATTTAAAAACTTGCTGTCATTCTATAAAGCTAGTGCATCACGCGTTAGAGTACTCAGTGACGGCTCTGATTTTTCTAAAGTGCTGAATTACGATGGAAACCAATTCATGGGGAGCCCGAATGTTATTCAGAATTCGTAGAGAGCATAAAATTTGAGTCGTGTTATTTTTGTCTCATGTCACACGGGGAGCGTTTAGCCGAGGAGCTGGGTATCATAGCTGTTCGGAGTTTCTAGCCATTTTTGTAATTAATGCGTAGATAGCGACTCTGCCCTGAAATGCCACGAGATTCCCGATAAACAGAAAGTGCGCTCTGTCCATCGCCGCTAGTAGCATTGTCAAGCTCATATGGGCAACGATTTGTTAACAAGAACCTGGCTAGACTGACAGCTTGAGAAAGACCCAGCTGCTGTGTCTGATTACTGGCCTAAATGAAGTACTCAGTATTATGTTACTAAGATCCCGCAGCAATGCCATTAGAGGATATGGCAACACTACAAGTTGTTTTGGTGCGCAGACTGATCACACAAGGCGCGTGGGCTTCATGACTCGGTGCTAATCATAGCACTTCAATAAATAGTTTATTTAGATGAAAAAAGCTACCCCAACCTTTCTCTGTATGCAATGAAGGCAGAGCTGTGAAGGCGTTTTGCCTATCCAGCTTGTGAGCTGGACAAAGCATGCGTGCCATGCACTAAAGGAACTGAAATGTGCACCTTTGTGTGTGGTGAAGCAGGTGTTGCTAATGGGACGTTACCTCACTCTTTTGCTGTTATATGCTGTATGAGGCTGCACCTTCAAGACAATGGAAGTTGTTCAGAATTAGGGGGAAAATAATATCAATCTGCTTCACCTCTTTAGTTGATGCTGTTGCACTAGGTTTGCTCTATGCCATCTGCAGTCACCCAGCTGCGAAACTACGCTGAGTACACAGAAGTACGTAAGCTGCATGATACGCACTTCGGTTGTTTGTTATCTCGGTTGTCTGTTATCTCTTCAATGAATAGCATGTACGTCTCCTTTTTAGGTATATCGAAACAAAAGTCAAGTCTGTTGACGTTTCTGGAGGCACTTGAGTTGGGCCGTGAACTGCACCCACCCCTGGTCCCATGTTACATGCCAAAACTGCAAACAGACCATCTTTCTTCTTGCAGCATTCACACAATGTTGTTGTCCCGGAGCTTGAAAGTTGTCTATGTATGAAGGAAGTGAAATTAACACGATATTAATATCCGTACGGATTTGTCAGAATATACGTTGAGCACAGTTCATATTGGGTACTGATCAAGGGCTTATTGTACTCACTATACCATACTTGTTGCAGTTTGCCTTTGTGCTGCAAAGCCGTCAGAGTGTCCTAGGTAAAGTCATCAAGCCCACTTTCTCAGGAGCGACCCTGGCCTCATCATTTTAATGTTTACACTACCCCATAATCGTGCTGACTAAGGAGCGGCTTACTATCGGCTTTTACAAATTAGAACTGCTGCGCTGCAAGAGCACGCTCCATGACAGTGCTTGCTGTGCACCAGGAAGTGCGTGTCTTCGAGCACCTATTCTGTTGTGAGCATCGTGACTATAATTACTGTAGAGCGTTACTCGCGTGTAACTTGGAATTATTGGCCAGTGGATTTAACGCCTACGCACCGTCTGGAGAGATGACTCTGCTACACTTGGTGGGGAAATGTATGGGCTCTTTTGGATGTACACTAGTATGTGAACTTTCTAAATTGAAATATCCAGACACGACTGAGCCCGTTAGACCACAAAACGTCGTTTTCTGTCGATGCTTTTACTGTAAATGTGCTTTCATCATTAGTTCAAAGCACTGCCGAAGTCTCGCACTTATGCGACATCCCATCGTGAATCTTCTACTTAATCAATACAGCGCTGTCTGGAGAACTAAGCAAAAAGTGGGCAGATAATCGTGACTTCTTTGTACGCGTCAGAAAGTGAGATCCGAATGAGATCTAGACAACCTGAGCTGCACAGATGCGCTGCATGCCTGCGCAGCATGTCTCCGAGCCAGCAGCACCGATATTTGGAACGGTCGGCCTGTGGCGTGTCACGAGTCGGTTTTTGACAAAGCGGAATTCGTCTCTTGAGAGATCCTGACAAATAGAAGCAGCGAGTTGCGCCGGGCCAACATCCTGTGCCCTACGCTTGCCACATTAGGGAAAAAAGATGCAAAAATGCTTATTGTATAGACTGTACGAGTTACGCCATCATTCATTTGTGGCCTGCTCGAACGGCCGTTGCGAAAGCAAATAGTGTGCTTGTCTTGTTTTATCTGGACATTAGCTACCCACGCTAACGTTCACCGACAGAAAGTACGCCATGTGGAATGAATGACATGGGCAGTGTTTGACGTTAGCTTCAGCGAGGTATAGTTCCTTGACAGTGAGATATTCTTTTTTTGAAGGAGCAAATTCTTGCCTTCAGAGAGCAGAATCGCCATGTAAATTTGTAAAGTTAAGTGAATCCTGGAAGAAAAGAGACGGAGATGCCTGTATTTGTGTGCGTCGCGCCATGTGCCTTAGGTTGTGAGTCATTCAGACTACTTCTTGACTTTTTTATCGAATCCCAAATGCGGCAGCTGCACTGTTCAGAGCCATTCAGGTGATGTGAAAAATACAATCGAACTGTTGTCTTAATAACGGCTTGTGGTAAGCGACTGCAGAAACTGAGCTTGAGACTTCTACCATGCACGCTGTCCAAGATCATGGTTATTCTTTGTTGCATATTGGCGCGCTGCGTTTTCGACGCTATGAACACTCCCGCTGGAGAAATAATGCAAGAACAAGTATGCAGAATTTGTGTGAAAGCTGTGAATCAGTGAGGAGTTGCTGTGCGATCTAATGGAAGAACAAGAAGTAAGTGAAGACCTCGCACAAGTACGCCGCCAAAAGCCATCACCACAACGCCTTACTACTCAGCTCCACATTCTCCCTACCCAAGCGTAACACAGACCAAACTGCGGGAAACACGTGGCTTGCATTTGCTCCCGGAAAACCTCCCCGCAACAAACAAAAATACATTGGCACAAGCAGATACACACGTAGACAAACAACCTCTACGTGTGAATAATATCGCGGCGAACAAAATATCAAAAGCTGCCCGCGCTCTCATTCGCGCAACGTTCAACACTCATGCGCCACGCATACGGCGCTGCTCTAACGTTCTCGCACAGCACGCTATGCATACCTAAAAACAACGACCATCTAAGCACTAGCATAGCGGAGATGCAGCCGTGCTGTGTTGTCACGATCACGAACTAAAAGCACTACACGGACGTGCTGGCATCCATCGTGGGCGCGTCTGCCCAAGCACCGCCAAAGCCCAACAAACCAAACAGACTAACCACTCTGCCCAGGACAAATTAACGTTAGAATATGCACGCCATGCACTGAAACTCGCCCGGCCGTCAAACGGATTTTCTTCCAAAATCTGTACCATATTCACAACACTTTAGAACTCAATACATCGCTATAAGGCCAAAAAAAGCTTCGGCGCACGGCCGTCAAAATGTTTTGGAGTTGTGGAAGGCCTGACGCAAATTGTTTCCGCAAGACACTGTGCTGCATTGTGTACCGATAGACTGACGCACACTTCTCCGTGTCTCACTAGCGTGGCAAAAGGTTAGAGCCTCAAATAACGACACGCCACCATTAGTTCTTTCGACATGTAAAGTTGTTAGAGTTGGATTAACCAGTCATCATCACATGCAGTGTTGTTCACTTGATACGAAACGCCCCCGTGTTATCACGCTCTGCTGCCCCGCTTCCCTTCCGCAGAAAGTATTGTCCAGTTTTTGAAGGGCAGGTGCACGGGCAAATTGACGCCACTGCGGGATGCAATCAAATGAAGGATGACTGAAAGCAGAAACATCAGGATACTGCTGCCAGTCACCATGCACACAGGTTCCGCTGCATCGCGTAAACACAGAAAAAAAGCGACAAAGCATTGTTCGCACTTCGCCTTGTGAGAATTTGCGCACCAAGCGCCAAAGCACTGCCCGACCGTCGCCGCGGTCTCAACCCAGCAATGATGCTCTACTCGCAGCCCACCAAGCATCACCGTCCATGGCAATTCATGCTTGAGCGCAAAATGCCCACAGCCCCAGTGCAAATGCACCAAAGCTACTCTCAGGCAGTCGAATACAACAGGCTATTTGCCCGCGGCGGTACAGGTTTCGTCTCCTCACGACAAATGTACGAACGCGCATGTGCTGCGCTACCTTTGTGTTGCCACTGTCCACAGCTCTCATCACCCTTACAAGCAAGCACTAGGGCTAAACAAGGCGTTCCTTCATTTGCTTCAGGCACAGTAACACGTGAACATGACTGCCATGCAGAATCCCGCCACCACAGCCTGCAGGGCTGCTGGGGAATGCGGCACGCATGCACATCATGTTCATGACGGTCCATAGTTCACATTTTCGACTGCTACATAAATCTGAAGCTTGGTACACCCACCCTTAGACAACAGCCGCATCCCTATGCTGAGCAGCGCGGACACCCTGTATAGCCTGGCCGTGGTACACGCCAGTAAAGTTCGGGTTTACTTACGCTTTGACGCGATCTCCATTAGCGAACTCGAGCACCCCAACGCAAGCAGCAGAATGTCAGAAAAAGTCCCCATTCACAGGGACAGAAGTCCGCCAATTCCTGGACCTCGGTTACATGTTTAGGGCTCTATGCCTGGCACAGATAAGCATGGTAAAGGCGCAAACCCATGAGAAGCGCTCACTTATGAGCAAAAGTTGTACCCATCCACAGCTCGCCAAGCATCCTTGGTCGCAGCAGCTGCACAGTCACTGTCACGCCGCACTATGACCACAACACCCTTGAATCACTGACGTCCGCTCTCTCCTCAAAGAGAAAAAGATCCCTCCGACAGGGCAAGGAGCATTTGCTCACTCTTCCGCACGTCTGTTTATGCTGTACATTGTATGTGAGTGCAACATGCCCCCCAGCGAGCTAACCAGTTGACAGAGTATGTGTACGAGACACACATGCAAGCAAACGCTCTCAAAGAACACACCTGTGTAGCGTGAGAAGCGGCTTTGTGCTTTGCAGGGAGACGCAGCGCATCGTCACCATCATGGATGCCTCTACATGGTCTACCTGTACACTAATCTCACCAACACTGCAGGCACAGTGCGACTGAAACCAAGCCTGTTCACAAAATACACTGGCGAACTCCATAAGCCACACGCAAAGCAGTCGAGGAACACGATAGAGTCACAAGCGTCAGTTCTTGTCGGAATTCGTCTCACTGAATAGAGCAGTTGACCCGCCGAGAGCGCAACACAAAGAGGATATGCAAACGCACTGGCGCGATTCCATGTGCTACACACGAAGCCCTCGACTCACGACATGAAGTCACAAATCTCAGTCTCCTAAGACGCATTTTACAAAAGAAAGGATTGATACAATAATCACAGCCTCCATTAACGGCATGTCGCCGTAGCAAGAGTGTACGGGATGCGACGAGATACCTAGGAGCCTGGGAAAAGCATTTTGAGTGCAGTTAATCAGCTTCCCGCTTAGGTCACGCTCAGAATGAGCGGTCACTTGATACTAGTAACTATTGATGACCTGGCGCGTCGCGCTAGCGCGTCGCTCCTAAACAGCCTCATGCCACTCAAAAGATTGAAGCTTACGAGGCAAGGACTTTGCCTGCCTTCTGCCATATTGCGTTCGTGTTGTCCGGGCGCTTCGTTAGGACCGTGACCTTTGATTGGACTGTAGCAACGAATGCCAAGAAACCCAACAATCGTCGCGATCAGTAGGGCCAGGCTTGAGAGTGCAGGCAACACTCCAGGCCAGCGTCTCAATAAGACCGAAACATCAGGGTTATGAGCTTGAGGTGTTCCTCCTAAAGGGCTTGCGTTCGGCAATTCGTCGTCTTTGCTTCAAGGAGAGCGTCGGCACTGATGACAATTAAGATTATGGAGTGTAGAGCGTGCATTTCTGGCGCAATAATTAAGATGTTGAATCGCTTTTGTGTTACCCGTGAGCTCTTTAGTGCTGTCAGAGCAGAACTTCTGCTTGTCTCTTCCCTGTTCGCTTTGTGTAGTGGGCAATGGGCCGCCAGCACACACCGGTGGGAAACTCCTCAGAAGGGCCTATTAGAGCCAATGTCAAACTCTCAAAATATATAAACACCAGCTAAGAAAGTTTGCGAAAGGTTTAGAAGTGACGTAAACAGTTTGTCGCGTTGTCGAGACTGGGGATTTGTTTACAGCAGTCACATACATGCTCTCAAGGGGCTCTGGAGCGTGCCATGTTCCAGGTTCTACCCAAGATGGTATGCTTTCACAAATCAGTGCGCACAGCGTCACAGAAGAATTAAAGCAACTGGAAGATATCTTTGTAAAAAATACAGTAATTGTTTCAGTATTCATTTTGGTATTCATTTGCGTGGACATGAGACGGGAGACACTGTGGCGGCAGTTTAGGAAGCAGACCGCCGGAACAGCCCTGTGGAGATCAAGCAGAGGAAAAGCTTCGGGGAAAGCTTCGCCAAGTTACAACTGATTTGGATGATAAAATCTTTACTTCATCAGGCAAAGGCACATATGCGGTTATTCGTGTGTTGTTTTAGTGGGAACAGATATGCAGCGCGCGAACGCACCTAGTGGCGCTTCTGTGCCGCCGTGTACTGTCTTTGCTACACAACTGTTTTAGGAAAGAACGAAGGGTTCTTCGTTGAAACGAGGAAAATTCTCAGTATATGACTCATAGCTTTTAGAACGTATTCACCAAGTAAAGACCTAGCCTCTGACCCAATGTTGAAATGTCATGTTCGCCTCTGTTTGCCGGCGAATATCTACTCGCGTGCAGCGCCTTCAGAAAGAAACGCCTGCCACCCTGGCAATGTTGATTTGAAAAACGTCTTAGTTATTGCTTACACTTTCGGGCTTCTGCGGTGGTCGAGCCAGATATAGCCCCCTGAACTAGGTTGGATGATGTTCCCCTGAGATGCCAGAATTAGTTCAGCAGCAAGCGGAGGGCTGAGACTCGCGAAAGCAGCAGTTAGACTCTTGAAATGCAGAAGTATGGCATCAAGATGGATTTGGTAGACAGAGTGTGGCATGAACTGAAGCAGTCGGGATATAGCTGGAGCGCAGCACCGCCAAACTGCAGTCGCTCCCTGTCCAGTTTCCAGTTTCCAAAAGTCAAGAAAAATGAACTTTCGCAAGAAAAGGCCACTAGCGTTCATCAGAGGTCTGCAGTTCCCCCGCAAAAGCCTGCAGATGAGCTTATTTCACACAGAGAGAGTGCTGAAGCCCAAGACGAGAGCTTGGCTGCACAATCGCCAGGGAGCAGAACAGCCTACGGTCTTGAGAGCTGGAAGTCTGTGTCCTGCACAGTGCAGCGACAGGCAAATGTACTGAAGGAAGAGTGCAGCAGCAGCCGCAGGTACAACGCTCTTGAGGCGCTGAAGCGGGTGTTTGTGGACGCCTCAGTGCCCAGCATTTTTTACAAAAGAGCGTTTGCTTTGCTGCTGGATCCGATGCTGCTGTGTCTTTCGGAGCCCGCCGAAAAGGCACGGCTCCTCTCAGCCAGTATTCTCTTTAAGTTTTTCTGCGAAGCACCAGCAGTGGACGAAGCCCTGGGAGAGGTGCTGCGGGCGCTGACTGCCCGCTTTGGCTCCGAAGACATTGAAAGAGTGGCTCACCTTCCCCCAGTGATGCGCCCAGACCCTGAGTACAAGCCCCTGCAGCTGACGCCCATAGAACAGAGCGACGAAATGCGGCAGAGTCTGTTCAAGTTGCTTCAGCTGGCGCTGCACAGAAGTTCAGATGAAGCCGTTTTGAGCCACCTAGACTTGGCCGTAGGCCTGCTGCGGGCCGGCGCAATGGATGTGTGCCCTGAGGTGAAGTGTTTGGCACTGGAAGCCGTCGTTGAGTTCTGCAGTCGGCACCAAAACATGCTGCTGCACTTCACTGAC